CGTATGATCTTATGTCTAGCACATCTCTGGATTTCGGAATTCGAGAGAATATGAGAATGCTGAGTTGAGACTGATGCGCTCAAGCTACCCAGCTTCTCATACTCAGGAGCGCTTCATGTTAGTTTTGAGTGGAAGGGGTGTCTTGTTGCCGGTGATGGGGTCGTATACAACTCTGGTCGGTCACGACCCCAACAGTGTCGTATATTCAACCCGTGACTGGTCTGTATCATAACCGTATCTCGAGGTTCACTGTAGTCTTGCCGAGTCGTTTTTCAAAGAGGCGCTGCTGACTTTGAGGCTTTCAACCCAAGTTAGCGATGATGATTAGCATGGGGTTCCTCGCAATTATTGGAGGCCTCCTTCATCGAGTGGTATTAGCTCGCACGCAGTATCCTCCTGTTTACCTCATACGGCACGGAGAGAAAGCGGGGGCAGAACACATCCTTGATCTTTCACCAAGGTAAATGTGCCATCAGCGCTGGTTACACTTGATTCTTGTAGCGATGATTATTGAGCGGTCTCGATGAGCTCTTCTTCATTTTGTAGGGGCGAAATGAGGGCCGCAGCTCTATCTGCCGTGTTCTTTCCGAAGTATAACAAGCCCAAATACGGACCCATAGGTGAGCTTCTATACTCCTCGCAGAGGGAGGGTCTCGATCTCCCTTCAAGCTTTTTGAGGGTTTTTGAGGGTATTGGGGATTCGAGTTCTTTCGCACTTATTCGTATGAAATTCCACACTGTTTTATTCTGGTCTTGGTGAGGCGGAGTCATCTGGTGGGGCCGGTATGCCACGCCGAGAGAACCTCTTAGTAGTTCTCTCGATAGCAGGGGATAACATGAATGTATAAGAGAAGAGGGTCGATCTTGATGGCACAATGAAGAGGGAGATGAAGTATGGCGAACTGTGGAAATCGACCCCGTTGTTAGGCGAATCCGATTGGAGGGGCCGATATGCCAATCCACGACTGATGTTCATGAGGGGCAGATATGCCGACCCCGGACTGATGTCCATGAGGGGCCGATATGCCTACGTGGCACTGATGTCCATGAAGGGGCAAATATGCCAACTCGGGACTGGTGCTCGTGGGGCAGATATGCCAACCGGGACTGATTTCTACAAGCCCTGTGTGAATTTCACGAGGAGGTGTTTTTTGGAGTGGCATATCGGCCCCACCAGAGGAATAATTTCACCGTAGGCGAAATAGTCGTTGAAAAGCTGTAAAAGATGATGGTTTGCGCACGCGTGCAGAATAAGCTACTCGTTGCCTTCAGATGTGGTGGTCACTCAGCAGCCCTCTGATACGTTCCCCATTGAACGAGAACTGCATACAGCTGAAGTTATCGTTGGCAATAACGGTACCACTCCGTTGAGACGATTCAAGTTAGGTGACCCTTTGGGGTAGTTGCGAACTAATTCGGAAATTCAATCGATTCTGGAAGTGATTCCTCATCCTGGAGTGCATCCTCATGGTCAGTCATGAGGTCTGGAATCAGTTTATTGAGCAAAGCCGCGGTGTGAACTCGCTTCAATCTTAGCACAGGCACACGGATGAGTTTTCACTGATACGATATCTCCAAAGCGTCGTATTAGATGGAGTCACACCTCTGCTGGTTTGGGAACATTATCGCATGCCCGCCATAGCGATCGGTCTCGTACTTCGATTCAACCGTTCGTACGAGCAGGCCAGGCATCCAATATGGCCTGATGACCGTTACGACATCCTATGGGAACTCAACCTCAATGAAGGCACCATCGAGCATCACTGCATGGTTTGTCATCTGTGCTGGAAATGCCACCGTCACATGCTCCTCTCAGGAAATTCTTTACGGTGACCTTGAATGTGCACCGTTCATACTATTCCCGCCAAGCGAATACGTCCGTGCTGCTCACTTGCCGGAGACATCATTTGTGTGATTAAGCAATTTCTTCACAACTCTAATATGTGTTATCTTTGGCCCATCTATCAGAACGATGTTCGCCTCCTCTTCTAGCGTTTTATGACTTGTAGCCATAAGCCGCCCGATACTTTGGACGTCAGCCCAGCCGCACTGTATTATATCATTGATGGTCTCTCCTGTACTGTCCTGGTTTTTATGCTGTGGCATAATGCAGATAATCTCGCCGCGTGGGAAGCCAGCCGAGGTCGAGACGTAAATTGAAAATTTGGCGAAGGAGTGGTATGGCTACCATATCACGCCAGCGCGTTCAAAATTATACAACAAAAGCCTCTAGAACCTCTTTTTACGTGCTTTTTTACTACGACAGTCCGATCAACGTTACAACGCCTGAAAGCTACTCTTCGGTTCTGTTGGTGGAATGTTTATCCTATGATCGTACTCTATCCAAACACCATTTGAAGATCCGTGATCTCGAGTATGTGGCGTACTATGTACCTTATACATAGCGTAATGGTGATTGCAGCGTGGTGTTGCCAAGTTCCAAATCTCGTCAACTCAGTTTCATCAGTTGGATATTTCATGGCGATCGGGATAAATAACGCTAAAATGTATCGACCCGTTCATGGAGGGTACACGGCGTCGCCACAGTGCAACGACAAGCTTCAGAACGAGAATACGTTAGGTGTCATTCCCGACGACAGATTAGAGAACGTAAGGAGGGAAAATCGTTTGTCGTTATTGTCCAACATTTGACATCTCCTGCTTCTCGGTTATCAGATCTCGCAGATTCGAACACGTACAAAATTGCCGCAGAAGCAGCCTAGGGACGAGCCAGAGATTAACGTACAGATGAATAGGAGAATTGCGTCTTAGTTGATCTTCGTCCCGATTCAGACTCACGTCGATGAATTCCCGGCAAAAGTCCTCAAGACGGGAAGAATGGGTGATGTGTAACTTACTTTCATGGATGTTGATCAACATCAATTGTATTATCGCGAATTTTAATGTTATTTCCTTCTGCACTGTGGTGTTATGTTTGGAGATGTGATATTACCATGGACCGTGAGTAAGTTTTCGGGTTTGTTCATGCTAGTTGTTGTGTTGATTTCGAGAGTCTAGGCCGCTCGTGGCTCCTGTTGCGAACTGTCGGAGGTGGGCACAGGTTCGCCTAGAGATCAGCCGACGCTCGCTGAGAACAGTGGAGCTGGGAACTGAACGTACTTTAGTTGTCCAACCCGGTTACGCAATGGTCGAGTCATATCTGTGTACGATATGAAGCTGGCATGGAGCCGCTCACTGCAAGCAATCCGGCAAGGCGGTTCGGATGATACCTCCACTATGGAAGGCCGTCCCCTGTTGAGGGAGATGTACCGTGTCACGACCGGCCTACCGACTCATGGGGCTAGTGTGTGGTGGAGGGAGGCCGTCCATGGGGAAGTGAGGAGATATATTCGATGCACTAGTCATCGTACTTTCAGATTGCTATTCACAGTGAGATCAGGACATGCATATTTGATGTGATCATACCCGAAGACCGAGATGGGGATTTACTGTAGGAGTCAGTCAGCACCCACGTACCGCCTCGACAGCGTTGAAGAAATACCGCTCGTGGGATTCGAACCCGGGTCTGTCCTGGTTGTCTCCCGTGTCGGAGGGCTTTGTGTTACGCTGAGGGTAGCTAACTCGTCCTTCCGAACATCCACATCATCAACCAAATACATATTGTATTTATCTATTTCAAGTAACAAATATGGTTTACGAAGCTCCTCATCTGAAGATCAAGGAAGGTGACATCAAGTCTGTTGTCTGCGCTGTCGGTGATCCTGCCCGTGCTGAACTCATTGCCGCCAAGTACTGTGATTCCTATAAGGAGCTTGCTTACAATCGTGAGTATCGCACATTCAATGTGACGTATCAAGGTGCTGAATTCAGCGTTGCTTCTCACGGTGTTGGTGGACCCGGTGCTGCTATCTGCTTCGAGGAGCTTATCAAATGTGGTGCCAAGGTTATCTTGAGACTTGGTACTTGCGGTTCTCTCAAGCCGGAGACGATTGATCAGGGTGATCTTATCGTCACCACTGGCTCTGGTGCTGAGGATGGTGTTTCTGAGTATCTCGTCCCCAAAGGCTTCCCTGCTGTTGCTGATCCTACCTTATGCATTGCTATGCGTGATACCGCCAAGTCCCTCGGATATGATAGGGTCTTCTTCGGTATTACTGTAGCTCAGTCGGTGTTCTATCCTAGTCCTGCTCGTGAGCAGAGTCTCGCTTCTTATGCTGCTGCCGGTGCTATCGGTGCCGAAATGGAGAACTCCGCTCTATTCAACGTTGCTTCAATCAGAGGCATTCGTGCTGCTGCTATTTGCACAGTTGATGGAAGCCCATTGAAGTGGGATGAGGGTGACTACGATCCGCATGGCACTAAAGTCGCTGAGGGTAAAGACCGTATGCTCAGGACCGGTGTTACTGTTGCTAAGAGGATTGTTCTTGAGAACCTTTAGGAAGGTTTATCCTCATCATTCATAACTACCATCTGATATTAAATGAGTATTAATTTCTGTTCTGCTCTCCCCTTACTTTCTGTTGTTCCTGTTGATGGCTCTACCGAGCTTTGATAGTCCCTTCGGCTATGGAAATGATTGCTATGTTGTGTTCATCAGTGGTGTGGGAGATTGAGGAGTGGAAGTGTATCTTGGTTCGTAACTGTGTGGGGAACCACATTGACGTAACTGTGGAAATATTCTGGGTTGGTAGAGATTGGTGATGGGTGAATAATTAGGACTTATAATGAGTTGTGGTTGAGTAGAGTTAGGAAAGGAAGATTTTTTGTTGGTGAGATGGTTGTCACTTATTGCTCCCTGTTGTACCTGAAAAGGAATACGTACTAGAAAATGTCCAGTTGCAAGCGATTCCCTTTTATATTGGGTTAAGGAACATAGCTACAACTGATACGACTATGTGGGATCTTCCACACACATCAACAAGCATACGTTGACTAATCCACCAACAGCAAGACGGACCCTATCGATCTACAAACACATGATGCCCCGAGAATTAATTCTTCTGCGTATTAGTAGAACAGTCGAAGGGGTACGCCACCCGTTGAAGTTCACCAAACGAACTCCGTTCATCAACAGTACCGACCTCACGTGTTAGACCTGTATAAGAACTGAATTCGAGTTATCATCTGCTCCAATAACGAAGGGTTATTAATTTGGCATATGATATCAGTGTAAATATCCATGTTATGCGATAGCCATCACTGATACTGGAAATCTATAAGTATGTAAAACCAGTAGCCATCTTGGGACTGCAGCAACGCAATAATTAAGGAAGAAGAACTCCTCTCCGTATTGTCATTAAAAGGAGTGATGTAAAAAGATACATACTCGCCTGATGTAACGGACAATTAGAACAGTTACGACTCCCGTCATCTTCATCACGCCGAGCAGCACCGAAGCAGTCACCACCACGAGAGAGGCCAAGGTACACGAAATATGTAGCAATGTCAGAAATACGATAACAAAGTCTCAAGTTTCCTGCATTCCTTAGCATATGCTTCATCATGGTTGATTCCACATTCACAGGGGAAAAACTCGATTAAAATAATATACAAGAATACCCCTTGCTACTGAGCAACTATCAGATCGTTTGGTTTTGGTAACACCAACCAGAATATCTTCATAAGTTCCAATTATTCCCTCATCAACCTCTACGAACTTGAACTATATTCACAGTTTAAGTGAACATCAGTATAGGTCGCTACGCAACTACGAACTATGGTACAATTCTCACACCAGCTCAACTTCCCACACCACTGACGAACACAACATACCAATTATTTCCATAGCCGAAGGGACTATCAAAGCTCGGTAGAGCCATCAACAGGAACAACAGAAAGTAAGGGGAGAGCAGAACAGAAATTAATACTCATTTAATATCAGATGGTAGTTATGAATGGTGAGGATAAACCTTCCTAAAGGTTCTCAAGAACAATCCTCTTAGCAACAGTAACACCGGTCCTGAGCATACGGTCTTTACCCTCAGCGACCTTAGTGCCATGCGGATCGTAGTCACCCTCATCCCACTTCAATGGGCTTCCATCAACTGTGCAAATAGCAGCAGCACGAATGCCTCTGATTGAAGCAACGTTGAATAGAGCGGAGTTCTCCATTTCGGCACCGATAGCACCGGCAGCAGCATAAGAAGCGAGACTCTGCTCACGAGCAGGACTAGGATAGAACACCGACTGAGCTACAGTAATACCGAAGAAGACCCTATCATATCCGAGGGACTTGGCGGTATCACGCATAGCAATGCATAAGGTAGGATCAGCAACAGCAGGGAAGCCTTTGGGGACGAGATACTCAGAAACACCATCCTCAGCACCAGAGCCAGTGGTGACGATAAGATCACCCTGATCAATCGTCTCCGGCTTGAGGGA